TAGAGAAGAAAGTGTCTTTTCCACGAAGTTTTGTCAAAGAATATTATTGTCAGCACTCTGGCACAACACATACAAAAAAGAAGCAAATTTTAATGAGTAAACTTGTTTTGATGTTTTCTATTTCTTCACGAAATGAGTCACCAGTCTTTACGAAGACTCTCACTTTTTGTTCATACAAACTTCACATACTTCCTGATGATTTCACCTTTTTACCAAAGCAACTTTTTTTTCTTAACAATTTCTATCGACGAGGAAAGACGCTTTCTGGCTAAGAAAGTGACATTTTTTTTGGAAATATGAAAGGCAAATAAGCAACTGCTTTCATTAAAACCTCGCATCGAAATTAAATGCACTTTATTGTGAATCGACATTCTTTACGATGAGTGGACTTTTCTTCATGAAAGAAAACATTTTTGGGGGGTGGGGGTGGGGGTGAGGTTGCTTGGAAGTGTAATGATCTATTTTAGTAAAACAAAGGTAGCATTTTCACGAAGACTGTGCTTTCTTAAAAAAAAAATTGAGCATTTTCTTGAAAACCTTACAGTCAACCTTCTACTTAAAAATAATCACCCTTCTTGATGATTTTTCTCTTTCGTACCGAAAGTAATTTTGATGACAAATTTACAATTATGTAGCGAAAGCAACGTTTGTTTTTTTTTGTTTTATTTTTTGTTTTTTGCGAAGAAATCAGTGTTTAAAAATATTGTAACACTCCACCGATTACTGACCATCTTGTGTCCTTAAGTGTTCGAGAAGATAAAGAGTGGATGAATGAAAGATAAGTAAGTTAACTGCTTGTGTCTGATATATTTTAACTAATGAACAACGCCTCGTCCTAGTTAAAATCGAAAACTACTTCTCCTTCGTGTGGGCATATCCATTTTAATCAGACTGACATTTCCCAAACCCCTCCTTCACTATGTTCGTTACGTACCGACACTATGTACACTGCGTACCAGAACACCACTACGTACCGCCACTGAGTACAATGTGTGGTGACACTACATACACTACGCTCGCTACGTGCCGATAATATGTACACGTACAGACACTAAGTACATTATGAACCGACACTACATACACTGGGTATCAACACTATCTTTACGTAACGATACGAAGTACACTACGAATCGACACTAAGTACTGACACTATGTACATCATATACAGACACTATGTACACTGTGTACCGACGCTATGTACACTATGCATCGACACTATGTATACCACGTCCTGACACTCCGTACCAATAATATGCACACTGCACACTAAGACTATATACACTTACTGCGAATTACCGAGACTATGTACACTATGCACCGACACTATGTACAGTGGAAACCGACAATAAGTATACATTATGTACCAACACTTTGTACATTACATATCGACACTATGTACAGTACGTCTCAAGAATATGGACACTACGTACCGACAATACGTACGCTCGCTACGTACCGACACTAAGTATACTACGTACCGACACTAAGTATACTACGTACCGACACTACATACACTCCCTACATACCGACACTATGCACACTATGTCTCAACAATATGTACAATACGTAGCGACACTAAAGACAGTACGTTCTGACACTATGTACACTACGCAGCAACACTATTTACACAATATACCGACACTGTGTACAATGGGTACCGACACTATTTAAACTAATACAATGTATACATAAATAAGGTTTACTGATATTCATTTATTGCTTGTCTTTATGCAAACAGTGCACAAAAATGATACTCCGTTTACAATAATTGTGACAAAAGTATAATTTTCACGATAAATGCAACTTTTTTTAACAAAAAAAGTGCCCTCATACGTCGATGTAAAGCTGTAAAGCACCTTGCCGACGTTAGGTGCAAAAAGTCGAATATGCTAAATAATCTGAATAATACTGAATCTTGAAAGATATTGTTCCTAAACATTTTTAATCCATTAAAACCATATCATATCGAAATTTCATCTGATTATGAGCATCGTAATTTTTCTCTGGAACCGAGAAACCCGGACATTTTTATTAACACATGTACGAATGAATCTGATGTTAACTGAAGACATCCGTGGACGAACCGATTTCAGTGGAAAGCTGGAACACAATATTTATGACGTCACCGTTGTAGACATAGGAAACTAAAACCATGTTATGTCGGATTGTCTTCAGCCCAAGTTCGCCCTTTAAAGCATCCAGCATATTATAGTAGTACCCTTAGTCCTAACAAAACAAACTAAGTTAAGGAGGCTACGACATCGTAGCTACCAGCGTACCAGCTAATCACCAATATTTAACCAAGTCTTATTTTTCTCTAACGCACGCGTTCTCTTCTCGGATCCGCTTTGAAAAGCCTGCCTGTTGTTTTTATTTTTTCTAGAATCAATCTGTGCGCCACGTGCGAATGTTGATGTTATTAGATAAGACATCAACGGAATTTGTCGAATCTATCACAACATTACTTTTGCAGCATTCTCCAAAAAGAATAGAATTAAGAGCGACTTTCGTTGACTGAATTAAGGGAGAGGGGTAGTGAACCTCTTAATTCTTAAGTGAATATTTGAACGTGAAATGAAGTTACCATTTGGATTATTTCAAAGAAGGGTTTATGTCAGCTTTATTAACAACTCGTTTCCGTCCTTCCAAACTGGAGTTAGATTGGAAGAATGATGAAATTTAATTAAGCAAAATGCAATATTCGTGAAAGATCAGATTCCTTTCACGAAAAGTGACATCTTCATGAAAATATCTGATGTTTTCGCAAAGAAAGGGAATTCATCTAAACAAGTTTCTTCACGAAAAAATTGCAGCGATTTTGACATGTTCGGCCTGGATGGTAAAAAAGACACTTAATTCATAATCTTTCTTGCGAACATTTTTCCCCCGTGGAAAACCATTACATTAATGATAAGAACGCCTATTGATAGGAATCCCAAACGTAAACCCCTTGCAGTCGGGCAGACAAGATAAAATGCAAATAAGTAAGGCGATATCCAATATATTATTCGTAATGCACGCGTATCACAAAGTAAACGAACCAGGAAAATGTAAGCGTGGCACATGTAATTGTGCGAATCCAACTCAAAATGAACTCAAGGGTTTAGTCAAAAGTTAAGTACAGAGTACTTGTATTCGCTGTTCCAGATTAATGTCAGACTCTTTGTGTCTGAGATAAGACTTGTTCAAGTACCAAACAAAAAAAAAATGTATTCGACCGAAGCCAAAACTAATAGGGACAAAAACGAAACGATACCCAAATGCCGTTTTTGCCGCCAGAAAATTAAATGTCTCTCCTCACAAAGATTGACTTTGCAACAATGATCCGTACATAGTGACTGCATACAATTGGGCAATGCGGGACTGGTTTTGAAATTCTACGCGTCACAAAGTGTGATCTGTTATATTTTGACTTGATGGAGTTACCCAAATATTTAGCAAATTAAGATTTATTATCTTGGATGATTTTGGCGTTCAATCTGATTATAATCAGATTGTTTTGGCGATAAGACAATCATATAATATAAAACTCGCTGATCACGTATGGTGTAATAATGGGTTGGGAAGGGAATGCATCTTGATGCCTTGAATCCGTGTTTTATCCTTATAGGCAGTGAATTGGGTTAATGTGCACGTGACCAGTTAGTTTTAAACTTGTCACGTTCACTGATTTTTTGTTAGCTCCCATGTGAATGTTATTCCTTAAACCAATAACAATTGGTACAGATCTCCATTTCATTATGAACTTGAGTCGTTAACTTGAAATTTAGACCTGCTACATAGTTCGTGACATAGCAACTTTCTCATATGTCTAGACGGTGTAAAGTTCCAACGTTGCGTGAGGATTCTTTCTTTTGTCTTATTGCCCCTGATTATGCATCTGTATATATCCATGGCCTGCAAGTTTCGTTGTCTGTCTTTGGTAGATCCATGCCAGAAATATTGAACTTAGTCTATTTATTAAGTAATGGTGTATGAACAGTGCCGGAATAAACACAGTGAAGGCCCCATGACAGTAGACATCTCGCCCCCCCCTCGAATATTATCTCCTAATACATTTTTAATTTTTACCAACCAGCCATTTCAATAAACCAAGGCGTGGGACCCTTAGGCCGGTGTCTACTCTGCCTATTTAGTTATTTGGTACTGAGAATGAAGTATTCGGAAATACTGAACTATTAAATATTTAATGCCCGTAATAACGCTGATGTATGAAAATCAAATGGCTGTTGTAGTTGCTGAAGATAAAAATATATACACCCGTAAAGCACACACACAAACACACACACACACACGGAATCTCCATTATTTGCGCTCGATTTATATCGCCAGTTTTATAACTGAATGATCTTAATTTGTTTAAAAAAAACAACATGTCCAACACAAAGGAGAATTGACAGGTTTCGAAAGAAAAATGTTCTAGTGATTTTTGAATCCCATGCCCACTTGTTTAAAAAGCATATCATAAACGGTATTGCTTTTCGTGTTATGAAGATTGATCTTTAGCAACGATATGTTCTGAAAGATGTTTTCAATTTTTTTCCTTTTCTCCTTGTTATGAATAACCTGTAGTATGACTGCTGGCTGACTCGAAAGGTGATCAGAGCAAAACCTCATAACGGTGCCTGCCATATCTACTTAGAGACCAGCAGATACCGAACTTAATAAGATCGTATCTAGCTAAACTCGTCGACTCGCGTATCAATGATCACATTTATTTTTTTTTTTGAGTACGTGTGCTGTAATTAATCAATATTTGTTCTGTCCTTTGGCTTAGTAAAACTGACGCAGAGTGCAGTTCAGTACGTTTACCCCCCCCCCACAAAACCACCCGAACCTAAAGTCGACGTGCGTTTGTCCTAAAATCACCAGAAATTTGACGCGAGTTAGACATAAAAACATCAGAAATTTAAAGTGACGAAGACATAAAATTGACTATCTCTATACCCATGGGTCAAATCTCTGATGTAATTCAACACTTTACAATCAACAAATATACCGCTCCAGTGGCCTAGTGGATAGAGCGTCCGCCTCAGATGCGGGAGGTCGTTGGTTGGAACTCCAGCCGAGTCATACCAAAGACATAAAAATATTACTAACAGCTGCCTCGCAAGGCGCTCAACATTAAGAGGTCAGTGTGAGAACTGTTCGGCTTGGTGTCAGGATAATGTGACTGGGTGGGACATCGTGCAACATGTCTGCGGCATGATGATCCAGTGCTAGACCACTATTATGCCACACTGCAGACATCGTAGATGACAGACATTTTGCAAAATTACGTTAAGTATTAAAATCACACACTTGTAAGCAATAGATATATGACATGTAACACACACACACACACACTGAAAAAGTCGTTAAGATAAGCTTTATTTCATTAAAAAAATTTCGTTCCCAAACCTCCCGTTTTGTAGACTCACGGAATTATGTACATCAGTATGATTTTACGAGAGCTGCCTTTTTCAGAAGCTCTGAAAATGTTTCTAGTATTTTTGATGTTTCAAATGACAGTTGTGAAAACAAAAATCATGTCGCACCTTAAAATTTATCCTTATCGTGCGCATATTGAGTCAGATAACATAATAACAGTAACACGTCTCGTGGAATTAATACTGTAACGATAATGCACTCGCTTAGCATCGCGGAGATACTGAGTGTGAACTCAGTTTTGACTGCAATGTTCTGTTTTGTAATTTCTTTTCTTTTCCAGCTTCTATGATCTCCTCCATCACAAAGATCACAAATTACATCACAAAAATATAACTGCGGTGTATATCTGTTTTAAAACCGTCGGTCGCCAGATTTGGCAATCTAGTTCTAACCTGACGTATGTGTGTGACATTTCAGTCAGACAATATCTAGGTACGATCATGTAAATGAGATCACTGACCTTCCAACGATTGAGCCGCACTTGTGGATAATTGTTGGTCCCTTGTCACCCATAAATCAACTGTTCGCAACTGATAAAATTCACACAGTAATTAACTCATTTGGCAGATAATTAATATTCGGCAAGCACTCTTGTCTTCCACTATTGTTTCTCTTAAAATGTAAGCTCACGGATGTCGAATAAACAAACTAAGTTGTGAATTACGTTTCTCAACAGAGAGAGAGAGAGAGAGAGAGAGAGAGAGAGAGAGAGAGAGAGAGAGAGAGAGAGAGAGAGAGAGAGAGAGAGAGAGAGAGAGAGACCCCAAAACAAAAGACTAAATCAAAAGACTAAATGGGAAGCCCAGTAAATGTATGTGAAATTAAATAAACCGTTTTAACTAGCTTATACAACGAGTCCACCTGCAAACTGCACAGAATCAGAACTGAAGGCGCATTATGCGCTGGCAGATCTGGGTTTAAGCAGTTTGTTTGGAATAATCAGTAGAACAAACATCAGCCGGCGCAATATGCGATAGCAGATCAGGGACTAGGTTATTTACAGTTGGTCTCGACTTACCAGCAAGTATAACATGTAATTTTGTCAACTCTTGGCTTTGAAGCAAAAACAATATGCATCAAGAAGAGAGCCAAATGATAAAGTATAAAGTTAAAAAAAAAACCCGCACAATTTTTTCACAAAATCGTTTATGTATTTAAAATACATAAAATGAGGGTAAACAAATTAGACCTCTTTATTTTAATGCGAAATAACGTGTAAAACATGAAAGTTTATAAGTCCGCCCGAGATAAAAACGATAAATTAGTAACATAAGAGGCCAATGTTCTGCCCCATTGTCACTTTCAACTGATAGTCATTAACTGCGAGATAAGCATTTATCTAGACAATAACTACGGCGCTCAGGGTCTGAAGACGTTTATTCACAAACAATTGTAAAACTATAATGATATCATAAAAACAGATTTTTTGGTTGCTATTTTTGTAATCGGAACATCTCAGTCATTTCTGCAAGCATTGTTTCTTTATAGGAAGAAAAAACACACAAGCTATTTATTTCTTAAGGTATATGGCTAAAAATGCACATAAATGACAATGTTATAGTTACAATTTAATCGAATAATACGGATGTAATAGGGGGTACTACTTCAGCCCCAGCGTATTGTTTCTATATGATTTTAAATCTAATAATGTAAAAAAGCAAAAGGTATTAAAATAATAATAATAATAATAATAATAATAATAATAATAATAATAATAATAATAATAATAATAATAATTAACAAAAAGAAAGAAGGAAAAATAAAACAAAACAACAGAGTAACAGAGTGCCGGTTCTCCAAGCTGTTTAATAGTTTCCAGAAATGTTCACTTAACGACTTGTTCAACAGATTCGGGTCTTGTTAATAGTTAATTGCACATTTAAATCCTAATATATATATATATATATATATATATATATATATATATATATATATATATATATATATATATATATATATATATATATATATATAATGGAGATAGATATTGATTTAGTTTGAAAAATCCCTTTTTGCACGAACAATTCCAAATCTTTGTACGGTGTTTAACTGAGCTGAAATATGGAGCTGAAAATCAACAAATTACATAAATCAGTGACACGGACAGCTGACATGCCTGTTGATCATCTGTTCAAAGTCTAGTACCTGAACCCAATGTAGTGCGTATCGTTAACACATCAGAACAGTACTCACGTTGTGATAAACCGGCAATTTTAAATAATAAATATTCATCAAGTGGAAGCCGAATTGGTGCGTCGGGTTTTAAGGACACTTTTAATACATTATGCATATCGTGCCGGTGAAATAGGAGCTAAATACCTACTCGGAAAATACATTAAGGCAGCTGGCCCTGACTAGTATGGGTGTGTAAAGCGACCCTTAGATTGCATCCAAGATTGACCCTGAACCAGCTTTGCTACCATGGCTCCCTTAATAGGCACCGCTTTAGCTTTATTCATCAAATAGTGTAACTCTGTCCAACTGCAAACAACATAGACTCTGATCTGCCGTCGCATTATGCACCGACTACCATGTCTATGTTGTTTGTTCTACTAATTACTCCTATAAAACTGCAAAGATCCAGAACCTGCCCGCACAGTATGAGATAGAAGATCTGGTTCTAGGCACTCTATATTTGGACCATACATATAAGCAACATTATGATGGATTTCGTGTACATACATGCATGCATATTAATGACAAAAGCCTTACTGTATTTATATCAGATGACTAAATATATTTCATTATTTGAATTAACCAATATACAGAACCAATTTGCGCAAAGTGCTTGAAAACTGCTACCTACATACGCACAGTCTCAGCAACCTATGTAATCACATTCTTTGGAGCCATCCATATATGACGTCATGCAATTGTTTTCAGATCTTAACCCCTACCCCTCATCACATTTTGTCATAAAACACATACCCCCCCCTCAAAATGATGCCATAAAGCTTTGCCCAGCTCCACTCCCAATTTTCAAATATTAAGCTGGTTTGAAATCACTTTGTATAGGAAAAAGCACAACAATAAGCATTCTAAATTATTTAATACAATCAAATATCCTGATCAGTCCGGGTTTAGTCATCTAATAAGAGAAAATTTATGGACAGGAAAAACACTTAAAATCCAAGGAATAAAGCTAAGGACAGCTCATCTCAGGAATTTACTTCTCATTGTTTTCTTCCTTAAATGGTGATTAAGAAACACAGCGTAATTGGTATTATCTATGGCAGATGGCACTGGAGTTGTTTCTTTGACCTCAAATTTTTGAAAACAACACATGCCCCTAACGTCACACAAGTCAGACCCCACACAAGTCAGACCCCCGTGTGTGATGTCAGATATGGACAGCCCTTTACCTATGTATGTACCCCCATTCTGACGTGTGTATTAATGTGTGTGTGTGTGTGTATATATGTATATATATATATATATATATATATATATATATATATATATATATATATATATATATATATATATATATATATATATATATATATATATGCCCATTCTTACCTACTACAGCCTTTCTTATCTACCTATATAGCCCCATTTGTACTTATGCTTACCTACCTATGTACCAACCTCTGTGTATCTACCTACCTATCTATTAAGCTACTGTAGCTCTTTTCCAGGCTGGCTTGCTGAAGGAATGAATGAATTAGTAGTAATCATCTTCTCTCCAAATGTAAAAGGGAAGCGGAGAGGGTGGGGAGGGAGAGGGTGGCTGAGTGGTTTAAGGTGCTCGCCTTTAGAGATAGATCACTCATACACCCCACTTCTGTCTGATCCAGTTCGAGTCTCAACTTGAGAGGGTGGAGAGGGAGAGGGTGGCTGAGTGGTTTAAGGTGCTCGCCTTTAGAGATAGATCACTCATACACCCCACTTCTGTCTGATCCAGTTCGAGTCTCGACTTGACGAAATTGGGTACCTGAGAAAATTTACAAGTAACTTCCCTTGGGTCAGTGGTATTTTCCGGATTTTTCTTCAACCAAATACTCTGACCGCAGTGGCATTTAAACCTAATGAAACCAAACCAATTAAAACATAAGAGTCACTTAGCAAGATAATAAAATTACAAAATAGTGTAAATATATATTATAATGTAAGGTTTTGATGGTAGATTTACAAGTGTATTAAAGGCCTGGAGAATGGAAATGATTTGCAACCATCCATTATGACTTATGCCCATGTTTTTATCTCTACCTTTGCATTACTACATTCTGATAGATGACCATAAGTATTTGTGTTAATTAGAATATCAATCACAAACGATCCACATTTTTCATACAAGATATAGTGTTTGTGTTCATTAAAAACATAGTTAAAAAAGACTTGGACATAATTCAAGTCTGTGTGCAGCAAATCATCATATTTTTGGCTGTAGTAAATGTACATAAATTAAACTTGTTGGGTAATGAAAGTATCACGACAATGTAGGGTTAGAGAAAGTATAGGATTACACTGTTGGGTCAAAGTTTGCGAGTGTATTTGTGTGTATGTGTGTGTTTGATTTTTAATGTAGCTTTAAAAATTTTTCAGTCATATTGCTACTACATCTGCAGTGTGGCAGTTTATAGTGATGTCTAACAATGGGGCATCTTGCCACAAAAATGTATCATGGTTTTCCATCCAGT